AGGTTCTCACGGCGATGAGTATGAAGACGACTATCTTCTGCAATGTTGCGCCGTGTAAGTCTGGTGGCAATAGACCGAGGTTTTAGAACTACTTCCTGCATCTATCATCGGAGCTACTAGTCCTTATGTCACATGATTTGCTAGTTTAAAGCCCTGTATAAATTGCCATTCATTCGACATGTATTATTATGCTTGATAATTTCCGTATCGTGCAACAGAAAATTGCTACTGCACTCGGATGTAAGACAGTGCTGCCTGTCAATCCAGCGGCCATTTGTTGTAATTATATTCACGACTGAGCGAATGATTGGAAATGCAATTGTTAGCGGAAATGGCATTTATGATTTATATTGCAGCATATCTTAATAAGAAGTCACTGCTGTCCCGAAATCTGTTAACATAGGCTACACATGACTTATCTTGCTTATAAGCGCTTATCCTTTTGATTTGGATTGCGTTATTTGAGGTTAATGAAAGAAACGTGTCCCGCTGTCACTCAACAGCTTTTGAACAATGGAAATTATATGTTGTCAAGGGCACGCGTTGATAGCCTTATAAAGCAACTTGGAAGTGGTTGAAGTTTTATTGCCATGAGACAGGACAATGATAGTTTTATTAATCACCGCAAACGGAATGAGGAAGAATAAACTTAGGGTGAGATTTTTGTAAAGAACTACATAAAAGTTGGTACGCTTGCAAGACCGAGACATGACAAATACGTAGGGGTCTATTAGTTGGTATTTTAACATTGCTGTATCAGTTACAGTGGTTATTTAGCATACATACGAGACATTAAACTAAAAACGGGTTGTTGGTTTATTTAATGACGAATTCTTAGCTCCATTAGTTATATAGTGGGCTGGTCCATTGCAGAGAAACTAAACAAATTTGAATGTAAGAAAATATGTGTATCTAATGAAGTTTTCGGCCCTGAGTAAGTGTAGTGCAAAACGAAAGAAGGAATCGAGTATCATGAAAGGGTGGTGTGTAACTTATATTTATTATAATCGGAGTTACAAATTTCGAATCTTCCGACGGACTAGCAGGAAAACTAACGACACTTAACATAGCAGTTTGTGAATCATTGATGCCCGCTCACAGATCCCCATTCGTTATAAATAGAAATGGAGCCAGCCATTACGTACCTCACCGTCTGGTGTACCACGGTTTTACGTCAGAAAAGGCCAGAGCGCGTGTGACCCAACAGAAGAATGTGTTGGGGGCAAGACAGACGCCATCATGTGTATGACGTATTTTCTGGTGTCAGCGACGTCTTTCTTGAGTACAAGTTCTAGTTGGTGAACAAGTGCAAATAAAATCTAGAAAATACGGTGTTGAATCCAGTGCATATTACCTCCTTGTCTTTATTTACGATCCATTTTGATTTTTGTTTTATCTATCCCCTTGTTCTCCCAAATTATTTTATTCCCTCAGTTTTTCGATTACAATTTACTTATATTTCACTTCCCCTAAGCATACTGTGTGTCCCGCCAGTTGTATTCTCTCTTATTTTGTCATCCTAATAATATTTGGTGAATAGTATATAAATCATGAAGATCCTCATTACGAAATTTTCTCCATTCTCCAGTTACTTCCTCTCTGGTAGGAAAAAAATGTTCTCATCATCTCTGTTTTCTCTTACACAGCGAATCTTTCTTTCGTGTTTTAATAAAGCAGATTACCCGACAGTTACGGGGCTTATTTCACTTTTGCAAAAATACTCCTCTTTTCCCGATTCTTTCTAATCACAAAAGGGTGTTTTATATGCATTTCTCACACCACGTAAATCTCTTGTTTGTCTTCTTCTCCATCCCCTCACTCCTCTTGACAGTATTCATGTTGAATTAAAGATCAGGCTCTTCACGAAAGTACTGAGAGTCCAATCAACTTCTGTTTGAAGTCTCCTTCGGTTTGCCCGGTGTTTCTCTAGTAGCTTTTGTTACGTGGCGAATCTTTTGAAAGATTGCCCCTGAAACATTAATTCAAGGACCGGATGTTTCTGCGTCATTTATTCCAATTGCGCGGCGTATTTTTATTAATAGGTACTTCAGTATATTTCATGGCATCTGCACTAGTCACAAAACATTTTCAATAGTTTTAATAAAGCTTAGTGATTTAATTTGAAAACCGCTTAATTACTTTACCTAAATATGCCCTATTGAAGAGTGTTTCGCCTCCTTGAACTCATACGACAGCCAAGAATGTGGAACACCCGGTATGGAGTACTATGCTCCTGGAACACTCGTTGCCATATACTGACATGTTGCCTAACTGTTAGCAGAAAATGAGGGAATTGTTCGTGTGGATGCCGTGACACCAGAAACTGTAATTACGTGAGGAGGTTTGAGTAATGTGCTGCCTTTTTCTCTGGAAGCAGACAATTTTACACTCTTTAATCTGAAGCATCCGCCCTACAGCAGAACTACACTAAAAATGTTATTAGGGTAAAACTGTACAGTTGTTAAGACTGGTCAGTAAAGTGACTGTCTAGACTGGACAGTCGCGTTTCGATTCCCGGCACATAAAGCATATTTCTTTTTGTCGCCAAGTTGAGATGGATTTCGTTGGTCCAATCTCATGTCGAATCGGGAGGGCTGACTCTGCCCCAATGGCAGTGGCTACTTTTACCTTATACCAGTACTTCGTCTTGGTACATTATAAGTAAGGATCTCTTCTGGTGGTTTCCGAGGTTCTATAATAATAATAATCATCAGAGAACCTCAGAAGACCCCCATTTTGGGAACTTCAGGCATCATCCGAAAAACGTTGTCATAAAATAAAATTATATAATACATCTAGCACTTGCTAAAAACAATATGGATCCCGGAAATAGCTGCTGCCCTATGTACCTCAGGGGCAAGGTTTGTCTCGGGTACATGGAAGTAAATACCATATAAAGTGGTGAATAGATGGGATAATAATTCAATTTAATTCATTTATTTAAGTGCTTGACAACAGCCAAATAAGGCCAATAACAGCCAAGCACTGACAACATTACAGGATAAAATATAAAAATAATGAAAGTAAAACATTACAATTAAAAACAAACAAACAAATGAACTAAATATGTAAATACACCATATTACGATAAGTATTATATTATATTACGTATTATGATAAATATGTATAATAATGTATAATAATAATAATAACACATGATTTTTCTTATTGTAAATATTTTTATTGTTCCTGCTACTTCTGATTGTGCCTTAAGTGGTTAGGGTCTACTATGAATATGCATCTAGCTCATTTGATTTTCTTATGCGCTCCGCAATTTTCCTAGAGTTTGTAATCAACGTTGAATAGAAAGCACCACTTTTTAATGAAGTACTTATTGGTTCATGAATATTTTATACGTGGCAACGTTTATAACCCCACAACGCTGAGTAACTACGAACGGGCATTTTCCTTACAGTCTGTCGATATTTTGACTCGAAGTATCGTCAGTCTTTCAGATCTGATTTAGAGATGTGCCTAGTAGCACTACGAAATGATATTTATCTCTCTTATTCTTGTTTCATCTATGTCTTTCATTCCATTTTTTTTTCCTTTCCTTCTTTCTTTCGTTAATTAAGTAGTTTAAGTTTGTTTGTAATTCCGCATTCTCATAGGTGACGTTCCAGAGTTTATTTATTGTACGACTGGCAAAAATTTCACTTCAATTCCGGCTATTAATTTTTAATTCTAATATTTCTCTGTTTAGCGACAGCTTCATATTCTGTAGTTCATTGTCCTTAATGCACGGTTTCTGTTCTCTTCTTTGTTACATTCAGAAATAAGAAGTAAAATGCGTCTTATTTTCTGTTTTGCGTTTTAATAAGAAGGAACGATTCGAATAACGCTAAGAAAGTGTGCTTCTTACATGCATGACGTCTGCCTGCTGTGCAGTCATTGAAGTGAATGAACTCATGAAGTTTTTTCATAGTAATATTAACATAATAAAAGAGTCATGTATCGATATTTATTAAAATCTGCCAAAGGACAAGTTTCTGTGAAAATGTTTATTTATTACCGAGTAAAATGGCTTATATAATGACCCACACAAAGCCAAAATCATAAAGGCTCGACACACCGACTTTGAACTAAATCGAAGCATCAGTTCGGACGGTGGCTACGTATTCATTATAAGCAAATCTAAAATTGCTGTTATTCGTCTTTGCTACGAGTTGTCCTTCTGTAGCTGGAATCGATCTATCGTAATGCATGTCCACTCCGTCCCTTCACCCCCTGCTTCAGGAGAACCAATTTCAACACTGAATTTCCCTCGTGTATACGAAGTAAAGAAACGTTATTTTTTGACAGTCACCTCTGCATCTGCGGTTGAAAGGTGGAGTTAGAAGGCACTGGGCGTATAGTTTCTGTTATTTCCGTTGGCTCAAGTGCGACAAGCGAGGGAATTGTATGATATGTGCGATTATGTTATATTTTGAGTGAATTTTCGTTGTGAAGAAATACGGAAGTCTGCGAATGTGTCTTCAAATATGTAAAGATCCGTTCAAACAATGGGTTTCTAAATCTGATATTATGGATATGTGCTTAACCTCAAATCTTAAACACATGCCATCTTTTAAGTTTTCAAGAAAAGGCCATGACCTTTGTGAAAGCACTATCCCAGAATTTACTTCGATGGACTATGAAGGATCAAACTACTGGACATTCCTCGTAACAGTGAAGTGGAACAAAACAAACAAATGATCTTGAGGAAGTGTGTGTAAATAAAACATTTAAATGCATAACAAGAAGCTGAAATTAAAGTGTGTGTAAATAAAACATTTAAATGCTTAACAAGAAGCTGAAATTACGGGCACTGTGTGATGTAAACCTAGAGCCTGCTCAATGGGACCCATTGTTACAGACTATGTAATGAAATGTGTTCATATTAAGGCACAAGATTTAAATCAAGGTTCAGTGATATTAATTGGTAGCACTGACAGAAGCGTCCTTGACTTTATCTGCGGTATGGATTGCGTCATTGTGTATCTCAAAAAGTGCTATGTGGAAACTGGTTTTTTTAATCAGATTTCTTGTTGATACGTGAATTGTCTTGACACAAAGTAAAGTGCTGAGACATGGAAATTCTACAGAATAGGCAGATTGACAAGGAAGAAATACAAGAACCCGAGGGATCAGGATGTGGACATGGCCATTTATCAACATAGATGCACGGTACAAGGTAGAATACAAAGATTAATTCTGACTTCAAGTTTATTCTTTGCAGGTTACATTTTTATGTCTTGTGATATATGTTTTCTTATGTCTGTACAGTGTGATGACTAGGTATTTATACGTCTTTTCATGACGATTTTGTGCTTTGCTACTGATGCCTGTGGTCATGATAGCAAACCAAAAAAAAGTTTGTGAGTGTGTGAAAGTGTTTTGATATTTCCTAAAACTAATCAGAATTTCACCTTATATTTTGTTATTAGATGTAATTTGCTTTCAATGAATTTATTTTGTGTTGAATTTGTTTTAAGTATAAAAATACGTAAGAACGTAATTGCTATAGGGGTTCGGAGGTTGGTGCTATATGGATCTGTACTAAAGAGGATCAGTTACACTGTTGTGTGTCTGTAAACTTGCTCTACAAGCGGTTTAAATGTGTGTGGGTGCCCCGTAACAGTTTTGAACCAGTTAACTGATTTTCACTAAACTTGGTATGGACCGTATGCAATTGGAGTGCATGACGGACGCTGTGAAATAATGTGGAAGCGATAGGATCCAGATATTATGTATGGTAATAGACATTTTTGTGAAATGTATATAGCAGCAATAAGGCTGCAGTTGGAAGTTGCTCAGGATGATGAAGGGAACTGTCCGGATATCCCGCCTCTGGGCTGAGATTCGAAGCAGGGACTTGTTGCATACGAAGAAGAAGTTTTATTAATCTTTACACAGGGATGTTTAGGTAACTGGAAAACATCAAATGAATCATGGATACGTGGAAACAACATATGTGCTAAATGAAAATCGTCAGGGATTGCTATTTACTGCAGTGGGGGTCTCCCTCCAAACTCCCCCGCCTCGCCTCTGCTTTGTACTCGTCTCTTCCATGTGCGATGCCAGTTACATATGTAAATTGGCGTAATTCTTCTTACGAGGAGTGTGGAGGTTGGTTATTGACTGCTGTGCATGACGTGGCTTAGAGTAACGATGTGTACTTATACACAGATACCTAGAAGGAACTCCATTTCTGGTCATCCCTATTTGGGAACTAGTTCGTTTTAAATACTGCACTTCCCATTTCCATTTAGGCGACAGAAACAAACGGACGTCAAACCAGGATACTCTGCTGAGATCAGTTAATCAGTTCAATTTTTCTTCTTGATCTGTTTTACTTTTTCCAACCTTTTTAATCGTTGTTCGTGCATTCTTTTCTTGTTTATTACTACAATTAACATTTAATATTTAAAATATATTAAAATGATGCTCTTTCTATCGAAATGTTCGATTTACAATTAGAGCATCATCTTTTCCATGGCATGTTTCGGTTTTCAATGAACCATCTTCAGGTGTATAATCAATATAAATTTAAATGTAATATTCTAAATGCAATCCTTCGTCAGATGTCCATTAAATATCGGAAAGTTATCCTCTTCTAGATCAATTGTACTTGTTTATTTTACTTAGTTCTTTCCGTCTGTCTTTTGTTTCTTCTGTTCCTCCTTTATCTTTCCTCATACTCATGTGTTCGTCCTTTTTTGTTACTATTTTACTTCTCTCTTTGTGTTCCCTTTTTCGCACACACATATTTGAACTTCTGTTCCTTTTAGGAATCGTGACATGTTTCTTATGTAAGTTGTCGAAACCTGTCATATCAGTTTGTGCATGATTCTTCAGGATACTGTATAAAGTAGAGAGTGAACTGAAGTGCCTTTTTGTTTTGAAGAGCTAGAAATGTTACTGGCAGGGTTTTCTGAGTGCTATTCACTTCGCAGAAATATTAATGCCAGCGACTGAGTTAAGTCAGCTGTTGCTAGCTGGAATACAGGTGCACTAAAGTCGTAAACTGGTGCGTGACCAGAATGGAAATTAACACATTTTTTTGTCTCGTTTCCACAAACCAAGTGCCAACATAATAGAAAGGATATTATGAGATTCACAGTTTCTAAGACTCTGAGGATATTTACGATGGTGGATTTCTGTATTGCATTGCCATGTCTCTTGTACGGGGTACCGTCGATTCGGAGGAACAAACTGCCTCTACCTTCAGTCTTGAAGAACGTTTCTCCGAAACGTTGGCACCCATCAGAAGTCCATATGGCATTACAACCCAGAAGACCGCCGTGGCAAGAAAGTATTCTTCATAAGGCGCGTAAAAATAGTGAGAGGAAGCCATCAGAGCTACATGTCCGCCACGTTTACGAAACAAAGCAAGGATTCTTATTCACGGCCAGATATTCGTAGTGTAGATGTTAACACAAGTACTTCTTGTGCGAACACACTCGATTCCTTCACCCAGGAACTGGCTATTTCTGCTTAGGACTGTGCAGTTGTCACAAGTTTCGGTTGGCAAAGACTGGCTTGTCGTAAAATAGGTTATTCACTATTTCTTTCCCATTTCCTTCAATACATTTTTCATCCTTCTTACAACCAAACGTTATGTCACTTATCCAAGTGTGTAACTGACTTCTTGGAGCAGAGTTCATATTGAGAAACTGTTAGTTGTCTTGATTGTTAAGTAATTCCTCGCCTTTTGTGGAACCCGGAAGATAATTTTCTTATTCAAAACTATCGTCTGAGCCAGATGAACCCAGCTGACACTCTCACGTCCAGAAGATCCTATTTAATGTTATCATACATCAAGCGTCTTTTTTCTTCAGTTTTTTTTCGACTAAAAAGCATGCATTTCTCAACTCTCTTATGAATACTCCGTGCATTTCCGATCTCATACTTCTTTATTTGATTTTCTTAGCAATATTTAGTGAAGGCTACAAATAATGAAGCCGGTGCGAGATTCTTTGCGTCGTCCAAGGAAAATTTTCAACAGCGGTAGACTATTTTGGAGGTGACAAATTTGGTACCTTTGGCGTCGTTGCGACTTTTTGGACACAGAAGTATCCGGGAGAGTTTTGATCCGGTCGGCCACGGATGTAGATCTTCATTCGGTCTGTGTGTGGTGCCAAATGGCCGAGGCGTTCATGTGATGGCGTGCCGTTAGTGGTCACTGCAGGCTACGTGGGATGGTTGGTTTAATGGTCAATTATGTGCGCTGTGCAATCGAATAGAATACTGCTGTAGTGGTGATTCATCCTCTGACTCTTGTTACAGTGTTTGACAATTCCGTCGAATTGTTTTTATTGCTTTGATATGGACTTGGTTTCTTACTGTCCTAATGTTTTGGGATTATTTAAATACTTTTTACCGGCCACAAGTAAATAGGATATGGAACGAAGCGGTGGAGTTGTGCTCCTAGAGGTAACTTCTGTGTTGCCTACGATTTATTTCTTGTACTGTGAGCATCTTTTAAGTATAAAAAGAAACTTCTATATTATTTTTTTTCAGGATGAAAATGTTTGAAATTAAAGTTGTGGATTTTAAGGGAGTCAAAAGATGTCAACTTATTTTTTCCTAATGTTCCGTTCTTCAAATTTCTGGGCATATTCCTTGTAGCAAAGAAGGCTATGTAGAAATTTTGGATTATTTGCATTGTTAATTTTTTTATGTTTGTTTTATCAATATTTTTCTTTGCGTTTCAGTAAAGATTGCTTTATTAAGACTGTACTTAAGTTGAAACTTATTTTAATTAAAAAACTGGGTAGATGTAGACCCATTTGCATTTGTTGTACAAAACATTGTCTTGTTTTTGTTACATATCCTTTTAAAACATCTAATAGTTTTGTACTCTCAAATATTATAAAGATTATATGTGCAAACTTTAAATTCTAATACCAGAAACTCCACACACAGGGCTTTTAGTCCTGTAGTTTTCTATGAACAGTCCAAATTGAATCTAACTTAGTTATTACTTCCTAGAAGAGAAACCTGTTATGAAGAAGGACAATTTCATCTTGCGGAAAAATTAGCTTATATTTTAATTTGTTGGTTATTATTTATTAATTATTTACGTTCTGTATATTGATCAGAAAAATTCATGTTGGAATTTTGCAAAACCCTTTTGTAATATCAAACATACATCCATTTGTGCAATAAAAATGTCCCTTTATCTTCTTCTAAGTTTATATCTAGGCCCGTTTTGTATACCCAGTGACGTCTGTGTTGCGTACCAATTCCTGTGCAGTTGGCTGTTTTAGAGAAACGTGTTTCGAGCTTCGTGAAATTATCTGTTATAGTTGACGGATGCATACCGAATAAAATCTGAGTGATAATACCCAACTGCACTGGAATCGTTTGGTCTGATAAATTGTTGGCTGTAGGCCTACATTTGTTCTTGAGAGACGCTCTGCATATATGCCACGGTCAAACCAAAATAGAACGTTGGTTGGCAGCCATTCCGGAGTCATAATGCGCTCGACGGTTTTCAGAATATGTTCTCTGAAAATCATTTGTCTTCTCTCTGTCTAGTCCGTTCATTAAGTACGTCATGATATTGAGTAGGTGATTGGTTGGTGTAATTTCGATTCAACCGCGATTACAGGTAGATACCAACGTTTCAGAGGAACATTCAGTCTCTATCTTCAGAGCTACCAGAGATGTACATTTGAAATCAGTGGTATATTTACTTTGATTTTGTAGACCTCACCAAAAACGAGAGAGAGTAAAAGTGGAAAACAGGAGACTTCCGGGTCTTAACATCCGTTTCCGTTGGTAGCCGTCTGCAGTTTACGTAACAGTAACTGGATTAATCAGGTCTTTGCTGTTGAAAGCACTTCCTATTTCTCATATCATATTTCCGCTGCCAGTGATCCGGAGGTTTCGGCCGGTAACTGTGCTGTAGCTCCTCGTTCGAATTCAAATGGATTTTTTTTAAAATTAGAGTAAGATATATCAGCTGATGACAGTGTTGGCAACAATCATTAACAATTATCTTGATTACAGTCTTCGCCGTCGTATCTTACTTCTTTAAGATTAATTATTCTATTTTCCATCCATGTTTAGATCTCTCAATTGGCCTCGACTAAACTAGTGTCTGAATTTTAAATTTATGTATGATTTACGAATGTCCTGTCGCTTTTTTATTTGATTTGTTTGTTCTGGAGTATTGACGAAGGTTACAAATTATTAAGCATCTCATTATGCAATCTCAGAAGTGCAGGGCCGTTTATGAATAATTGGTTTTATTGCTGAAATTTTAGGGCTCCAACGAGAGGATCTTCATCCTGTCTTCATGTATTTTTAGCTTTCAAGTATAATTCCCTATAGCAATACTAGACCACTGTCGCCCTCGTTTAGAATGATAAAATAATTCAATTACGTCTTTCAAAGGTCTTGTAGACGTTACTGAAAGTAGTTCCATCGTTTCTGTAGCATAACATCTTCGTGCAACATTAGCATTGAAACGATGAAATGGATGTTCCTGAAATGCTCCTTCTTGGAAACAGTGACGTCTGCGGATTGGCTTGCTTCTGTTTCTGAGTACCACGCGCACACCTAAGCATAATCGCTGGAAGAAACCATCATAATTTCGGAGACCTGACGCAAATTAGCCCTCTGAGGGGACATGTAAAGTTGGAGACAATTACACTTATCACATACAAAATCTATATTTTCCTTCCTTTCTTCCTTTCTTTTCTTTTTCTTATCGTCTTTGTCTTCATATTTCTTTCCTCGATGTCTCGTTTATTTTGCCTGTTTAACTTATTTGTTTCCTATTTCTTTTATTTTTATGTTTATTTATATATTTATTTGTCCTTGCCTTCTTTATTCGTTCCATCTTTTTTATTTTCTGTTTTGTGCCTGCGGATTTGTATCTCATAAAAGGCAGACAAGAAATTCGTATATGACTTTGTCGTGGAAACCATCGGAGAAGAGTTGGAAAGGTAATGGTAAGATGGGTCTTGCGAGTATTGTTATTGAAGCGAAGGGCCCTTAGTTAGATAATACTTAAGTGAACATGGAGTAACAAGGGAAAACCGAAGAACTCGGAGAAGAAAATCTATGTCAGTTGTCCACAGAAATCCCGCGAATCAAACCCCGGCTTCTGCGATGAGAAGCTGGCTACTAACCGCCTGAGCTATTTGCACGGCCAAATTTGGGTAGTTTTTACGTGTTCTCCTTCATGAAGATAAAATTAAATGTGTTTCCTCATTTTAAGACAATAGTTTTAGTACCATGAGCCTTTGCGCTGCACTTAAAGTAAGTACGAACTCTGGTGCCTTGAAGAGCGAAATTACAGCTTCTTCCCTGACCATTTCTACTTCACCATTGAAACAGATTTGTTAATCAAAGTAAGAAACAAGAAACTTGTTTGATACAACAGTGCCGCACTTCTTGAGATTTTTGAAGTTAACTTGAACACTGTCTTCTCTTCAAACAGTACGAATTACATTCCCACTTCAGTTCTTTGCTTCAGTATAATACTAGATGGCATTATACAGGGTGATTTAAAAAGGACTTTACAACTTTGAAAGTGTATAGAAATTTATTCAGAAGGCTTACAGAATCGGTTGAGGTGTCATTTTGTAGCAAACAAATCAACTTTTACCTCAAATT